GCTGAAATATTTTTGTGCACTTTTACCTGACTGTACCTCATGTATACTCTTCCATACGTTATGTTATATGGCAGGGGGGAGGGGTAGTACTTTAGTAATGAACCAAGAATTAGTTCCAAACGGGAAAATTATATGCAGTGATAAAAACAGACACCAAAGCAATAGCTGCAATACGTTCAGAGTAAGTTTGGACTCTGGTGTATCATCAAAGCAGCAATGACCATGTCTGTACATACCCCTAATTGCAGAAAACTGTCATTCAAGATCCAAACATGTTTTATAAAAAGAAGGCTCTAATGAAAGAATAGGTGTTACCAGCATAAGGCACGTGCAAACCTACACAATTCCAATAGCTATCCTAAAGAGACAGCATTACTATATGGCAGGACCAACACCGACGCAAAGACAAACCTTAGCTTTTCACTTAACTTTGTCAAAAAAGTGTTCTTATATTCGAAACAAGAATCTTCAGCTTTCTTCTTTTTTACTTAACTTCTACCAAAATAAGCCATCCTGTTTACTGTTCAGCTTTTCTGTTCACAGCAATGTATGCATTAGGAAGCCATTGCTGGACACTACCTGCTCTGTCTGATCATAAGAACAGAGTAACCCTTTACACTAGTAAATGGAGAGCTGTGACAAGTTCACAAGAAAGGAAGAAAGAACATACTCTGCCACTTAAATTACCCTCAGCCATGACAAATATTATCTCACAATAAGAACAGATGAACATGAGGGAGAACCAGAGAGTAAATGTGTTTCTTGAGACAGGAGATAAAAGAACCATCAGAAGAACAAACGAAGTGAGGATCAAGAAATCGGGGAGAAATAGGTAAAAGATAAATCACAAAAAGGCTCTACAGTTACAAAGAGACAGAAAAAAATCAGCCCCTTTCTAGCAAGGAATTACTTTTTTCCTTTTCAAGGTAATGCTGTTTGAATACCTATTCAATGCCTGATACTGCTCTGCTGCAATACACTTTTTGGTTGAAATTTTGCACTTGTGAATGCACTTTACCTGCATTGCCTTAAAAACAGTGCCAACATTATTGAAAGATTTCCATTTCTAATTTGGTTCCAGAGGACTGTATAAAATGCCAAGAAAGTTACACTACAAACTCATTACTTTTTCTTTCAGTTGGGAAAACTGAGCTTTGAGCCTTAATCAGTCAATATTAGATTATTATGAAAAAAAACCAAAATGTATTATTTTCCTAATGCCTGGAAGATACTCCAATGCCTTTTTGTATATTCCCCACCAGGAGGAACTCAGAGTTCTGGCAGGCATTAGAGGGAAAACATTCTGCAACTGCCTTATGGCAAGACTAGGACTACTCTTTTCTATCTCTCTCTTTCCCTTCATCATGCTCTTACATCTTGTACAGAAATTTGCCCCTTTTTAATTTCAAGACTACTCTGAAGAGGGACTGTTTCCACCCATATCAAACATCCGTAGTGGAGATAAGACATTTTCATCCTAACATCAACAGAATAAACTTCAGACTAGAAAGAATAGGGAAAAGGATACTTTAGCATTTATTTGGATGCAGCATTTATCCTGCAATTACCTTCAAAATATAAATGTAACACTGTGACAACCTCTTACAGCTCTTCCTGGATTTCATATCTCAGTCAAAATACATTTCAGCGTATCTTCAATACATAAAGAAAATGAAGGATAATCAAGATAATTATCTGAAAAGCAATCTTTCACTTGTGTTTATACTGACAGATGCCAAAACTAAAGACTCAGTTTGTCACTTTTGAAATTGAAGTCGGGTTGCCTAACCCTGCAACTTTAAGTCTGCTTTCTGAAAACTATTTCTGTCCTAAGCAAATCGACTTGATTATGAAAAAAAGCCCAGACATAAGCAAATTTTCAAGCCATTTTTTCAGTAGAAAAGCAAACTATGAAATGATATTTGCTTTTCATTCAGTCATCTTATCTCTGTTTAGAGAATTCCCAAATAACTAGTAAAACCCTGACAAATCTTCCTAATGAAATTTTGAATTTAAACAGCCTCAATGAGGCCCTGGGCAACCTGGTCTAGTTGGGGGTGTCCCTGCTGACTGCGGGGGGGTCGGACTAGATGACCTTTGGAGGTCCCTTCCGGCCTGGGCAATTCTATGATTCTATGATTCTATGATCAAAAGAGAAATATAAAAATATACAAACTATTTTTTTTCCCTTGGAATGCATCATGTAACAATTAATTGAATGTGTATTCCTTGCTGATGCATGGCAGAACATTCCTCAAACAAATAAATGGCATAAATATTTACAAGAATGGCCATTAGCAAAAAATATAACAGCTCAATGGAATAAAACTACTGATTAGGTGCTCTTAAAGTATGAAAATGAAATGTGCAAGATTCACAAACAAAACATATTCTCTGTTTTGTTATTAAAATGCTTGCATGTTGTACTACAAAACAGATCTGGTTAAAAAAAAAAAAAAAAAAAAGAAAAAACCCTAAGTTTTATGTAGTACTCAGAAGCATTAGTCATACAAGTCTTCCCAGCATGACCCAAAAACCAAACTCTGTAAGACTATATTGTGTTAACTTTATGTCAAAAATCTCCACAACCCAGCACACAAGTATAAATTAGTTTGCATTCCAGACCCTGTTTCATTTAAAAAAAGACCATGATTTTAAAATTCCTGTCAATATTCTCAACAAAAACATTGTCTCACTTTAGCAACAATCAAAACAGTCAGTGAAAGTATCATGAAAATTATCTCTATTCCAAATTACTAACTTCTAAATAGAACTCCATTTACTACTTAGCACTATCATAAATTTAAACATTTTATTTACACTAGAAAAGCACCTAAGAGAAAAAAATCTAAAGATACATACGACCACTCAGACTCCAACTGCTCTTTGTAGACTTTCAGGACACGAAGAGCCACAGCCAAGTTCCCAGGATCCAGCAGTTCTCTCACTTTCTCTGAATTAAGGCAGGTGAAAAGGACCATGCAACAATAGGCAACAATTTTCTCATCACTGTATGCTAGACATGTTCTTCAAGAGAAAATAAGGAGTTAAAGTAAGTTAAAACTGACCCTGGAAACAGTGGCATTCAGCTCATTAAAACGTTTGCTGTCTTTTAGAAAATTATGAGTTTGTCACTGCCCAAGAGGGACAGAAGTCATCTGCAAAGAAAAACACCAAACTCTTAGCTCAAGGTCAAACTTACTTCTATTATCATAAAGTCTTTCTACTTCCAGCGCTGGTAAGTGGGCTCCAAAAACATACTCAGAATGATTATTAAATTGAATGAACGTGCATTTGCTACTAGCTCACTATGAAAAATTTGACCAAACACATCAACAGCACTGTCATGTGTCTGCACAAAATCATTTATGTAATATTTCATTGCACATATCATCAAACCTCCAGGAAAATATTCTGGTAAGGATAGTGGGGAAGGCTGGAAGACACAAAAATTAAGTCACTTTTGTAGATTCCATCCAATCCACAAATACTGACAGGTCTGCACAGCAGCTAAGTGAGTAAAGAAACAGATACATGCTCAGAAAGGAGTATGACTACTTGAAAACACCTCTGAAATAAAGCTTATGTTTGAAGCTCATAATTTGAAACAAGAGTTTTCTTCCAGTTCCTGTTAAATGAAATCAATTTACTGTTAGTTTACAACAAGGAGGTTTTTAAAGGTCTCGACCCCTGTGGCTGACTAATAAAAAAAAAAACTTCTACAGGATATGGTCTCAACTGGCCCGTTCTCACCAAAGTTATTTTTCAAAGCTTCATGGTGCTAGTGGAGGCACAAATATCATCACAAAAAAAGATTTCAATATATCCACAGAAATGACATTAGGAAAAAAACCCGCATCCATACTTACAAGAAGAGATCTGGGAAAGCACACTTCCAAATGCTATTCTGGGAATCTCCATTTCCTGCTGCAATGTTTCCAAGAAACTGGAGACTACAACGAAGAGCTGAAAAAAAAAAACCCAGAAAATATATTAACAGGAATCGAAACACTAATAAATTTCATATAAATGACAAACTTCAACATTACAGCTATACGCTACAGAATCCATCTCAATTAAGCTTTGGGTGCAGTATTTCACTGCTACTGGATATAAATATTTGTATTTGCTGTTCTAATGCAAATAATTTTACAAAGTATTCTAGAATTATACCCCAAACAAATCAAATTTTTCCTCAGGTGGACTTATGTATAAGTATCAAACATTGGTTACTAGTGATTAAATGCACTAATCAACTCTGTCAAGGTTTAAGACAGATTGCAATCAAAGAAAGCTTGGAGCTACAGCTAGCACAAACTGAAGCAGTGGCTGCCACGTGGTAGTGCCCATTTTGCCTCTTCCAGATCTGAGCTGGCTTTCTTCCTTTTATTAAATTAACACAAATAGAGCACTTGTCATCACCCAAACTCTGCAAGAGCAGCTAGCAGGACAGGTCCCCTGGCACCCTCCCTAAGCTGGCCAGAGGTGGCTTAAAAATTTTGTTGTAGCAGGTAGAACCACAGCACGAGAACTGAAATCTGTTCCCTTGCTACACACATTATATCCTATATAGCTGGACAAATCATTATACAATATCATTATGTGCTCAATACTTTCTTATTTCCATCCCAGAAAGATTAAAGCCAGTACTCCAAGTAACTTTGCCTCAAATTTTAACACTGAATTTAATACAGCAGATTTCTCCTATTTATTCCAGCCTCCTCTCAATACAGACTTAAAATATGGGAAGATGGTATTTCTTCATTCTTCATTTCTTTCAAGTTAATATCCTAGAGCCTACCAAAAGATGTAAACTCACAAAAAACAAAAGCATGAATCCACAGACCTCACAAAATCAAAACACTTTTTTGGCCCTATTGACAGCTCTCAATAGGATGGCCCTTATTAATAGGCTGGCAAAGAAACTTAAAATTAAATGCTAAAGTGCAGTTTAACAGATATTACAAACAGCAGCCTATTACAGATGGAGGGGGCTGATATTGCCAGGTTCTGAAAATATAAAATTAGGTCTCTTTGAAAGGTGCTGTGCCAGCTGGCAGCCAGATTTCCTGGTCTGGGCATATGTCCTCTTGGGAACAAAAAGAAACCAAGTCCGTAATGAGGTCACTTGAGCTTAGGAAACAGTAACTTTTTTTTCTTCATATATATTTTTTTAAGCCCAAAATATATATGTCCTCTCCATAATGCATTTTGGATCATCTTCTCCTTTATGCTTTAGTTCTTAAGATTTCCGTCTTTTTTTTCCTCATATATATTTTTAAAGCCCAAAATATATATGTCCTCTCCATAATGCATTTTGGATCATCTTCTCCTTTATGCTTTAGTTCTTAAGATTTCCGTTCTCTCTCCCTGCACATCTGCACTTTTTTTATTATTTTCTGCCCATCGTTAGGCTTCTGCTTCTCTGATCCATCTGGTTCCCATCCTGCTGACTCAGAATTTTCCTGAAGGACAGCAAGCATGGGCATGCTAGTCTTCCAGCAGACTTTTTATGCAAATACTTCCCTGCTAGAAAAAAAAAAATAACAACAGAGTACATCCTAAGAATAGGGTATTATTTCTCTTGAACTCCTTACCTCCTCTACTATGAGAAAGATCTCTCAGAGACACGAGGTTGGCTGATTACACTCCAATCTTTATTTGAAGATTTATTTGACCTTTTTTCAGCTATCAATTACACATTTGTCATAAGAGACTACGCTGTCAAAAAAATTCCACAGACTAGGAAAAAAAAGTTAAAAATCTTTTAAAAGTTGTCATTCTTACTGTAATAATGATGAAATGCTATGAACACATTTGTAGTATACAAAATCACAGAATCACAGAATCTTCTAGGTTGGAAGGGACCTTAAAGATCATCTTGTCCAACTGTCAACCTCACTGACAAAAACACACAACAACACAAAAACACACAAAAACACCCAGAAGAGAAGGCTCCGAGGGACAAATTCTCCATCAATCACACACTAGAGTCTTAGCATCTGTGAAAGCAACCAACAGTGCCCTTATACAATTGTGATGGCCTGGAAAAGCAAGAAGGATCCATGAAAAGGTCACAATTCTGTGGATGTGCCATGGGGGGGGGGACACAACAACACAAAAACACACAAAAACACCCACACAACAAACAAAATATCTACAAATTCTCCATCAATCACACACTAGAGTCTTAGCATCTGTGAAAGCAACCAACAGTGCCCTTATACAATTGTGATGGCCTGGAAAAGCAAGAAGGATCCAGGAAAAGGTCACAATTCTGTGGATGT